ATATTCTCTTTTTTATGTATATAAAATGTATAGAATAGAAAAGGATTATGAAATAAAAAATAAACAAACTTTTTTGTATCTCTTTGTACCCTCTGCGCATACAAAGACATACCTTTAAACAACATACGAGTCCTTATAGTCACATAATATATTTTTAGTGTTCTAATTTTTTTGCAGGCAATAGATGCATTTTTGCGGATAATCTTATAATCATAAACAATTAATGATTGATGGATTATAAAGTTATATTATTCATGCAAGAGAACCCTATTTCCCTATACTTGATTTTGCTTCTTAAGGAATACGCGCGGTTAAGGGATGCCAGATTTGTACGATTATTCGTGATAAACGAGAACTGAATTTGAATATCGATCGGCTTCTTGGTCTATGGCGTTGGCTGATTGAATTGCAAATTAAGCTATTCCCCGCATTATGCGCATGGCTTTGCCTTTCCGTGAACACATCGTATGCGAAAGTTCGCGTGTATTGTTACTCTTTGGTATTCCAGAAAAGGGTTAATAAAACCTAATACCGCATAATCCGCATACATCCCTACTCTAGAGAAACCTAAAGATTTATAAAGTTTTTGAGCCCTCTTTCTCTCTCTCTCTCCCCCACCCACACACACACACACACACACACATACACACATTTAGATTTCCTCGAAATCATGGAATACTTCGCTAGAGATCAGCTAAAAATTTTGTATAAATTTATATCGTTTGATAAATGTTACATGTAAGAATAAAAACCACGGAAGAAAAAAAAAAGATTAATTTTAATATCGTCATGAGAGAGGCAAACGTTTGACGTTTAACTATGCGTTGAAACGCCCCGTGCATTTTCCTCAAGATGCGCGCGACGTAATGAAAAAGATTGGATTACTCGCGCCATTGGAAATTTCTCGAATATCACTGAGATTGCACCACCACGAGCGGGAAAGCGAGCTCGTGTGCGATTCTCGAACGGTCCGCCGTGACGCGGCTACGCGTGATCGTGCGTGCGATCACGATGGTGACGGAGTTGTCCGAACGAACGGAGAAGGAATCGACCGGATGCAAATGCGACGGCACGAATGTCTATACATATATATATATATATATATATATTTATATATCGCAATTCGCTGCGTTTTATCCCGCATGTGCCCCGCGGATGTTCCATTTTCGCAGGAATTTTCGAGGGAACTTCGTTTCCTTCGATAATCATTTGATAATTAAAGAGAAACATTAATAGAGACATCGAGAAAGAATGAAGAACGAGACACGCCTAATTAAGGATCCGGGTGGCTGCGGGCGTGCGTACGTTACTGCGCTGTCATCGACGAAGGGCCGCGGAGCAGACACGTTGTGTGTCACTCGCGCGTGGCCGCAACGCAGTGGGGCGGTAAACGAGGAGAAACGATGGCTTTGTGTGCCGCGTGAATGCGCGAGCGAGATCCGCAGTGTCCCGTTGCAGTCTGGTCCCAGTGTCGTTCTCTGTTCTCTCTCGCGTTATCGGTGTGTTGGTAACCAGAGCGCGTACGCGCGGGCGCACGCGGTGGAGAGAGAGAGGGAGAGATTGAACGAGAAGAAAAGAGAAGGATGGTGTGCGTATGTACGTGAGGGCCGTCGCAACTTCTCGCGCTCAAGTCTACTCGGCGCTGTCGAGGCCAAAAATAGACGAATGGACGACGAGCGCGCCGTCATCGTCGTCGTCGTCGTCGGTGGTAGTGATGGTGGTGGCGATGGTTCCTCGCGTGCGTTTCTCGGTGATGCCCTCGTACCTTTGAGAGCAGCATAGATCCGAGTTGCCATCGTCTCCGGAGAAGGAGAGAGAGAGAGAGAGAGAGAGAGAGAGAGAGAGAGAGATGGAGGTACTCAAGACATCCCAGGAAATCGTCCACGAAGGATTGCTCATCAAATCGCCGCCCACGAAGCTCTGGAGAGCGGTCAGTATACAGTGCATCGCCTCGGCGCTATCTATTTATCTACCTGCGTAGGCCTTGCAAGACCTGGCCATTGTTTACGTTTGTCTTCGATCGTCAAGTCGCTCTCTACCCTTGAGAAGAGTCTAAGATTCTACAAACTCTAAATTCCGGAGCATTTTGGCTCGTCTAACCTCTTGTTTTGAAAACTCTTTAGTTTAATAGTAACAGTCAATCTTTTACTTTAACGAAAATATTTTGGCCTAACCTATTTTCAGGAGAGACTTGTGCGAGATTTCTATTTCATATATTCTTGATTATTTTGAGACTTGCGATTTCGAAAATGCTCACATTAGGTGATATAATGTGTTTATTCATTCGAATGATCTTTTATCCGAGTTTTATAATTGATAGGGATATCATAGAGTAACATAACATTGATATAAATAAGTAGACAAGTTTGATTAAAGCTTTATATTTTTCTAATAGCGTTGGAGAAAGCGGTGGTTTGCCCTTCGTCACAGCGGCGAATTGCCTGGGCAATACTTTTTGGAGTATTATACAGATAGACGTTGTCGTAAACTCAAAGGCCGTATTGATTTGGATCAATGTGAACAGGTATTGATTGTGTCACATCTTTGTATGTTTTGTTTTTGCTAACTACAAGTACTTATGAACAATCTGTTACAGGTGGATGCGGGTCTTCGATTTGAAAATCGTAAAGAGAAATACCAGTATATGTTCAATGTTAAGACACCTAAACGGACCTATTATTTAGTAGCTGAGAACGAAGCAGATATGAACAAATGGGTGGATGCGATATGTCAAGTTTGTGGTCTAAAAGCTTACACTCAGGACGAGGAACAACAAAGTAACGACCATTACACTCACATCTCGCGTTGTATATACGTTTTAGTATTAATGATAGCACATTGTAAATAATTTTTTTAGTGTTTCAATACGAGTCTCAAGAATCCCCGCCAACTTCGCCCACCAGCACGATCTCCGGTCCGTACATTCCTATTAGCGAGTGCATTTCCGGTCGTCGGCTCAACGATACTAGCTCCCTGAATTCGGCGCTCGGGCAAGGACCGGAGCATTATGATGCTCCGAGGAGATTAGCGCCTTCGCCACCTCGATCACCCACGACGACGGACGCCGAGAGCGTCTTCACCGATGACGAATGGACAACGCCTGTACCCGGTGCAAACTGGGACACCCTTCCCTCAACTGGTGAATGTCTAATAATTATTGCGTGGTTCCCTATTTATTTCTTTGTTAACAAATTAATTCTGTAACAGGTGATTCGCGGCATCACGAGATCGGTTCATGGAGTGTAAGGAAACGCTTCGGCAAGCTTAGAATTGTTGATTCTGCAGTACCACCGGCTGCGGAGAAGTTACCAGTCCCGCCTAGACCGCCAAAACCGCCTCACATGTTACCCGAGAACCCAGGTCATAATTATCTGAATCTAGATGGTGCCACTGAGAGTTCAAAACCGACTACTCCGGCGACGCCGGCATCAACAACCTCTGCTGCCACGACGACGGCGACAGTAGGCGCTGTGACTGACGAGTCCTATGATTTTCCGAGATCTCATCAACCGCAAACGACGGTCGAGAATAATGCGGCGGTCGACCAATCATCGAAACATCTTTACTCGAACGCTGCGCCGAGCACCGTCAACGATGAAACGACCACACACAATGTGTTTCGCTACGATTTTCACGAAGACGAGCCGCCGAGTCCACGGTCTGAAAGCTCCACCGCGGCTACGTACTCGAATCTACCGAGTCCTCTTGTACGAGACTCAAGCGCCGTACCGATCGCCATGGCGCCGCCTCCGCCAATGGTCTACAGAGAGTTAAAGCCGGGCAGAAAGACCAGTGATTCAATGTCTGTTGTCAGTAACGAGCCATCACCGGGCCCGATAGTAGCGGTATGCGATGTGAGTTCTGCTGAACACTCGCCGGCCGAACCGCCAAGCATCAACAGAAAACTAAAACCATCCTTGAGTAAATCACCGGTAGAAGGTAGACTTTCTTCGTACACTTTCTTTTTTCTTTTATTTTGATGTGTGTAAGAGAAATATAACCTTGATTTTTCGTTTCAGCACCCCATTTGCAATTAGCATCTCCTCCTGGCAGAGGAAGAATGCGGGCGGCACCTAGTCCGACACCTCCATCGCATATGCACTCGACACGTCATCAGTCTACGTCGGACGAAGACAATAATGCGTTTGAGGATAAAGAGGAGGTTCGTAGAGCACTTTTCACATTTCTAAGAACTGTGCGTTATCTTAATCATTATGTATGATGCGATTTGATGTATGATTTCATTTTATTATGCATAATTCGATTTCCAGATATACTATTATCAAGATCACAATACATTTATTCCGGCGTCCAATCGTCGCTTAGTAGTGTTGCAATATCTGGATCTCGACTTGGAGGCGACGGAAAGCTTCAGTTCTTCGACATTACCGCCCGCGCAGTCGCCGCCGAATACGACGGTGTACAAAACCGTGGATTTTCTGAAAACCGAGGCTTTTAATCGCACTCGGCAACGAGTAGAGGAGGAGAGAAAGTTGTGCTCGGACGAATTAGCATAGAGAATAAATTTGTATATTATATATAAATAGATTACACAGATGTTAAATACATCAAGAAGTTACATAATAAACTTTTTACTATATTATATAGATGAAAGCACAGGTCACGCGAGACCTATCTTATTTTAAGCATTAGAATTAGCACATTAGAATACAGTACTATGCGAACATGTGGTACTATTCTCAATTGAAAGACTGCGATATCAACGCAGTACTTAGGGTGCGAATCCATGCAGCGGATTAGCGTAACGCGGAACGAAAAGGGAACCAATCGCGAGCATTCTGCAGTTTTTGTTACGCCCGCGATTGGTTCCCTTCTCGTTCCGCGTTACGCTAATCCGCTGCATGGGTTCGCACCCTTACCAAAAGACAGTGTCTACTGTTTTTGCAGTATATCGTTTTATCGTTTATCTAGCGGCGATTTGCTTTAAAAATTGCTATGCTGTCAAAAGAGGCAATCGAATGTTAAAACACGTTGTATAGCAATAGAAAATGGACCAAAAATGTAATGTTGTAGATAAGGAAGAGAGAACAGCAGAATGATGAGCAGAAGTCACACTTTTTCGTCGATCGTTGCATCGGAGAAAAAGTCTTTTCGAAAAAAGAATTTTTTTATTAAATAAGTAAAGTATTCAAATGCTAAAGATTTTTATACTTTGGTACATTTATGATTCTACATAATTTACAGATGTTAATTTACAGATATGGTTAACGTGTGCACGGTATTTTTATTATCATAGTATGTATTTTGAATTTTCAAATAATTAAACAGTCTGAAAGTTTAAAAAATGAATCTTAAATTATTCGGCTTGAACTTCAAGAACGAAAAAAATTTTCAGTTTTCGAGATTTTCGTCAATCATCATATGTACAACGAATAACAAAGCCTGTAGTATTGCTTGTTTCAAGATATTCTATTTTTAGCTTTAGATAAATTGTTATATAATATTTTTTTATCATATCGTGCATTGCAATCTATTTCACGAAGATGATTAAATTTTTACAAAATGTGTATTACAGGAATAGTCACTTACTGCATTAACAGAGTTACAAAACAAAATATCGAATTATATAATACACGTTACATAGAGATTCTCTCTTTTATCAAAAACTAGTCTAATGTAATGAGACTATAGAAATTATTGCATGCCTTGATTATATACAATCTTATAAAAATTGTTGAAATAAGAGTGACCTTGAATGTATATTGCCATTTTATAAGTTACATTTTAATTATTAATATCGCGAAACACTTATAATTGAATTTTAATTATTATTTGACACTACAATATATTTATTGCATTTGTATTATCCGATAATAGGAATATAATTGCCGTCGAAAAAACGGGATATGAGAAAATATACGTTTTATATTTAATATCTAATCATTTTTATCTGTAAATTGTATATGCTACAGATATATATATGTACATATATATGCGAACACGTGAATGTGCAGATAGCGCAATTTTATTTTTTTAATTGATAATATTGTGTAATCTTAAAAAATTGGTTATATTAAATCAGTTGGAACGACAGAGTTATACAATCGTGCTCTTGAAAAAATATGTCTAGAACTACGATTATTATAGCTATGTTAATATTTCAGATTGAATTTGTATGTAGCAACATACATTATGCAAAATACAAAATGCATGAAATATATGAGATTCAGGGCATTCACAGAAATGTATATCAACAATAGTTGCTACAGATTCTCACTTTTACATCCTTTTTATGTTAAACACATGCTCTCATCGAACTTATAATAGAAAAAGTTGATATGTTTTTAAAAATATTTCAAAGATGTTTGGTCTCTTTGTATGATTTATATGGTATTCTTTAAATGTCTCGCTCAAGCGTTACCGTAATTATATTTTATATGTCGGCGTTGTGTAATATGTATATTTTTTCTTATAAAAAAAGGATATGTTACACGCGATCAATGCAATATTTCAAGAACAAATATCCTATAACATTTCATATCGACCAAATACTTGTGTGTGTCACTCCGTGGTACGAATTGTATCCCTCTACCAATATTTTGTACAGTAGATTTAAATAATCGCTTTATTCTTTCCTCTTGTGCAATCACATCACGTGTATGCACATGTCGCATATCATTAAAGAGAGGTACAAACAAAATGTAAAACACGTTTTAGTATTTAAATTTATTCCATAATAAAAAGAAAGAAATTTATTATCACAAATACTTTCTCTTAAGATTTCTTTAAATGATTTAAAATTTGCAACAAAATTCAAGAATTTTATTCAAGCCATTTATTTTTGAAAGTTGTATAAGTTCACTTTCTTGAAATATTAAAAGATTGATATATATTTTGTGATTTGTATATTTTTACGTGTGTAAATGATTTTTGCAATACATGACAGAAAATTTATAAATAGTGTATTCTGTCTTGAATTTTGTTGCAAATAATAGATCATTTAATGAGGTCTAATTAAATTTTAAAGAAATTTTAAAAATACTTTAAAATTTTTTTAATAAATTAATAACTTTAAAAATAACTATGTAAGTTTATTAATAACTTTATTTTTACAATCTTTATATATACATCTAGGCCAGTCATATTAGACATCGAACCCTCCAATTAGTCTTCCCAGGTTGTAACCACCATGAATCTCTTTGGTTTGAGGTGCTATAAGTAGAATTAATTTTGTTTCGCAAAATTAACGGAGGATAGAAAATTATTAACAATATTATAAACCTAAAACGCGATTTTTTTGTATTTTCTCAAATATCTCAAAATTCAAGCAAGATAGGGTAACAAACTATACGTACCTTTTTTGTTGAGCGTAGAATTATCTACAATAATGATTCGAACAACATTTATCGTCATATCAGTCATTTAATTTGCACGCGCCGTCAAACTCCGAAACTTGGATCCTGAAGACCCACGATTTCGTCGTTTTTTTGATGTTGCGCCGGTGACTTTTTTCTGTCATTTAAAATAGAATTAAAAATCCCCAAAAAATCACACATTATCTGAGAACTTTAAAGAATATTTTTCATGGTGCAATCGATTTTTTAGATCTTTTTTGTTTATTTTGTAGCTATGTAAACCAAAAAATTTTACTTTTCGGAATAGTCTTAGTTTTTTGCTGTTTTCACGTCTTAGAATCCATTTGAGACGAATCTTATCATATATATTTTGTTGGGGGCGAAATTTGCAACAAAAAAGAACCCTTACATTTTTTTCGTACGACGAACGCTGATTTTTTTATTGACGCGCGAAAGTATCCAATATTGCGCATAGGTCGGATAAAGCCCGTATCAGACTACGCATTGAAAATTGAAGATTGAAGATTAAAGATTGAAATTTGACTAATCAGAACAAAAGGTACTAAAATTTCTTTGTCCTGATTTGTCAAATTTCAATCTTTGATCTTCAATCTCAATCTTCAATGCGTAATCTGATACGGGCTTTAAGCACACGGTCTCGATTGTATACAGCAGAAAGAAGAATGAGAGTCGCCACGCTGCCGTTTTTCGTGTGACGCTTTTTCTAGATCGTACACTCGCGTCACGTACATCCATTTTACGCCGCCTGGAACTACATGGCCACATCCACTTTCGGAGCCGATAAAACAGCCGATTGGTTCATGTCCGTGCTACATCCACTTTTCGATTTTGGTTCATGTCCGTGCTACATCCACTTTTCGATATTGTCAATGCTGGTAGTACACTGATCGTTTGACAAAGAGAGATAATGCGCTGTCTTTGTCTCTCTTTCATCGCGTATGTGTGTAGCGTCCGTGAAGGCACACACCGACACGTTAAGCACACAGATGCGATTGTTGGGAGATAATATCAGACAAGGAGCGACAATCGCGTGCTATCCTTGTTCCTCTAGCGTATCGCTTACGGCCGAAATACGGCCTGAAAATGCTTTCTGGCCTCTCGTGACAGAAAACAGTAATGCAACAAAGCTAATAACCACCCACCCAGATAGCACTATGGCCGGTATTCATAGTCCGTTCTTATATCCAAGATCGTCTTAAGTGTGGTCTTGGGTCGTCTTAAGATCCCATTCAACCAATGAAATGGCCGCATAGTATCTTAAGATCGTACTTAAGACGATCTTGAATATAAGAACGGACTATGAATACCGGCCTATGACATCCTCAGGACATCCAGGACGGACATTACGGATATCCTGTGGATATCCAAATTTTATCCCGGGATATGCTCAGAATGTCTTGAGGAATAGCAAATGAGCACCTCATGCTATACCTAGAAATATCCTCAGGATATCCCATTTCAAAGTCCTACGGATGTTCATAAGATGTCCGTAAGGCATCGTAATTCCTAAAACGTCCACAATGCATTCAAAATTAGTCCAGAATATGTTATCAAGGTACTTTATATGATATTTTAAAGATAACATATTGAATATAATTTATATAAGATATATATATTAATGGAATATAAAATAGAATATTTTAAATATAATATAGAAGTTCATAAATTATTTTCTTTATAAAATTGCGTTCTGTTATTCACTGCCATTTGAATTTATTCTTATAACATGTTTATTTAATTATTAATTATTGTTTATATGTTTATTTTAATTATTTATTATTATTTGAGTTTATTATTTGTTTGAATTTATTCTTATAACATGTTTATTTAATTATTAATTATTGTTTATATGTTTATTTTAATTATTTATTATTATTTGAGTTTATTATTTGTTTGAATTTATTCTTATAACATGTTTATTTAATTATTAATTATTGTTTATATGTTTATTTTAATTATTTATTATTATTTGAGTTTATTATTTGTTTGAATTTATTCTTATCACATGTTTTGTACTATATGATTTAAAAAGAGTTCTAATTTTAGATTAACTAGTAATAAGATTTTAGAATTAACTAATAATAAATTATACTTTCTTATTACACTAATTATAAATTGCATATTTTATAAGAGCAGTCGAGAAACGCCAAGTTAGATTCGTTACACGTGCGCGCATACGCGCTCACACGCATCCGCACGCATGTACACGCAAACGCTTACACACACATTCACTAGCTTGGCGTCTTCCGACTGCTCTTATAAAATATGCAATTAATAATTAGTGTAATAAGAAAGTATAATTTATTATTAGTTAATTCTAAAATCTTATTACTAGTTAATCTAAGTGCCGGTCTACAATAGGTGATTTAAGCCTTAAGCCTTAAGAAATTGACCAATCACAATCAAGTATGAGGAGAATACTCGACTGTGATTAGTCAATTTCTTTTCTTTCAAATCGGGCACTGCAATTTCGAAAATAAATATTAATTTGGGATATATTTCTACATGGATAAAAAAACTTACGATGGTTTATATACTATCTTAAAATATTATATTTAAAAATCGGCATAAGATATTACAAAATTTCAATAGGATAGACTTTAAAAGACAGTCAAAAACTATATTATCTATGACGCATCAAATATTTTTCTAATATATTTATGTATATGAAAATGCATTGTTATGAAATGTTACCAATATTTAGACTAAACGAAAGTTGACTTTATCAAAAAACTAAAATAGAGGAAATTATAAAAAATTTATATCATGAAAGAGCAAATTAAGCTGATTTTTTTCATGTATCGTAAGTTTAATTTTTATGTAGGTCGCTGGCTGGGAGCTTGGTGGTGTTACGTCTCGACAATGCTCTTTTCTTACTATGCCTTAGTTAGTGAGAAAAGGATAGCTCTCTATTTTTATAGGGCAACCTGCTTCCACCGGCTATACCCCAGGGACGCCGAGAGCTAAAACTGATCTGGTGGATTCTAGGGGAATGACGTTAGGCACGGAACTAACCTTTACTAGAGATTTTACTGGGTGTTAGATATAGGAATATACGCAGGCGCAAATATTCATGTGTGATTCAATAGTAAAGTAATGCTTTAAATTTAAATAATAAGAGTTAGAGAAATAGTTGAAGAAAAATATTATAATAAGAGAAGAAATTAAGAGAAAATATTAACTATTTATAAGAATTGGAATTAGGTGGAATTAAAATGGTTTTATTGTTACTACTGCGCAGCTGCTTAGTTCTAAATAAAACCTTCTGATTGGTCGGTTCGAGGAACCTACAATTCCTTGCGCAATCGATTATTACTACTAAAGGAAGTAAAATATAGTTAATTTCTATGTTAAATAACCATATGGAACTGGATCAATAAGCAATTAGTAAAATTGATTAATAATGGAAATAAAAGCAAATGGTTAAATAATTGTTCTATATTCCATAGGCATAATGCAGAAATAGATGCGGTACTTAATTATTAGTTAAAATATGGTTTTGAAAAATGACGGGACGTCACATTATATTATTATTATTACATATTTAGTATCAAATAAAGTATGAGAAATCACACAAATAAGTTTTTTCGAAGTATTATTAATTGTTAATTTAAATTTATTCTTATAACATATTTATTTAATTATTAATTATTGTTTATAACAAGTTTATTTTAATTATTAATTATTATTTGAGTTTATTATTTGTTTG